GGGCATCTATGAATGGATCGCCCTGTTGTTACCCATCACCAACACTCCGCTGTTCACGATAATTTCGAGCACCATACGCGAGCCGGGCAGCAGTGAATTCTAAAGAATTACGCGGCACTGGGCTGCAGGATTATGCCGACGAGGGATGTAATTTTAGGGCGTACCCATCAAAACCAGAGCATGCAGCATTCTGCCTGTCTTTTGGAAAAGCAAAAAAAAGACACCTAAAAAATACATTTATAAACTCACAGATGCCACACCTTCCGATGCTTGGGTGGAACAATTTTGTGAGGACACGGTTTATAGCTCCATTTCCCACGCACTTCGCAGACATAATAGGCCGTTGGTGAAAATAAGCCCACGACAAGATATTGATGCAACATTTGCGTGGCTGCTCATTCCTGACAGTGAAAAATGACTCTGCCAGCGGAGACTTAACTCTTCATCGCGCAAGTCACGAAAATATTCGGATTCTAATTGGCGTCCGCAATACAAATAAAAAACGTTTTGGCTCGGTGATGGATTCATGACAATCAATGTCCGTTTGAGTAGTTTTGTTTGGGAAGCGCCACGAGTGGATCACTGTGCAAGGCCACCACTCAAAGGTGTAAAAAAAAGAAGTGTTACGTGCGCTCGACTTGGGTCCATCATCCCTTAACGGTCGATAAAATAACATGTGGGCTGTTTACCATTGGCTCAGGGTTATAAACAGGAAGTCAGCGCTGACTCATTGCCCAGATGAGTAGGATATGACTTTTAAAATGTTTTCTCGATACAAAACAAAAGTTACACACCGTCGCCGATTGCCAAATTAATATTCAGCTAAAAATGAAATGTTCCGAAAGGGATGGATAAAATAAATCATTGTGCACACACACGCAATAAAACAAGCGTGGGTGGGCTTTAAATACGTAATTTTCTCCACCGTTTAATTTCACATTATTCTTGTGATTGGCCTCAAACAACATCAGACTAACTTGCCAGGGTGATTATTAATGCAATTTAAATGGTCAGACAGAGCTGTCTGTTGTGAATAACAATCACGAGCTTGGCAGCAACAACCCTAGCAGGGCAAAAAAACCAACAGCTATTTTTTTTTATATCTGGGCATAACTGAAACACCATTAATACAAAAGAAATCAATGGCTTGCTAAATTGTTATTAAAAAAATACTTTTCTTTAATCCGCAAACAGGTAAATGCTTTGGTATAATAAATCATCATGTTCATACATCCTGTGTATGCATTTTGTACGGAAGGTTTGCGTTGTTTTTCTTATCGTTAATCACCATCACCTGTAGTTTAGCCGTAAGCTTTTTGAGCAGTAAACGGGGGCCAATGATCTCTCAAGCTCCGGGAAGTAAGGTCCCCCCCTCTCTCTCTTACCCACCTGTCAGCTACCCAAGTTAATTTTGCCGAATCAGGTGAGAAAGTCGACAGACGAACAAAGCCTCGGTCTGGGGGGGGGTCACCAATACGGAAAAAAGCAAAACCCAATAAAGTAAAGCAGTGAAAAAACACAAGTAGGGGGCTGTCACTCCTTGTCCTCCTCCCGCCTTATCACTCGCGGCGTACTACTGGACATCTGTAAAAAAGAGCTTTAAACCTCATCGGATTCCTCCAGTATAAATAAATATACTGATGTTATATTCTGTACGGATTCTCCAATTAAGCGACTGCAATAAATAATTACACTCGCAGCGCGTGCATTCATTCACGCAAGATGTGATTATTTTAGACGCGGAGAGTAAAGAAATAACAACTCGTGTAGCCCTGCCGACAATCTGTGAACCCCGCGCCCTCCCACGTCCACTTGGGGCCCACACTAATAGCTGCACTCACGTGAGCACGTGAGCGCGGCGAGACACAAGAGACCATGGAGCTTCCCTTGGTCCATCGGCTCCCGGAGAAGGAGCTGTGCACCATGTAGGACCTCGGGCTACACGCGCCGGGTCATATCGCTGTCGTCGTGTTCAGCATGAGCCCGACACTGGATAAATGTGCGACTGCGGTGGGCAGCATACGAGGAGGTGGCTATTTCATGGTGATGCTGACACAGATAAAACTGAACGGCATTTATTTTGTTTTTGAAGATGTAAATATTGAGTTAATCATTATTTTTATTATCAAGTGGTAATTAATAGGCTTATGTTGTAATAACATAGAATTGTAACGCAAGTGTATATTGTCTTCCTTCACCTATGTTAAGTATGTCGGACATGCCCGCTTCACCGGGGAAGGCTGCCCCCCCCCCCCCCCCCCCGAATAAGTCCGGCTTCAAGGAGGTTTTACGATAATTAAAACTGAACAAAAAGCAACAAACAGCTCAGCTGCAACTGGACACCACAAAGTTGACGCCAGCAGCTGATGATTCTGAACTCATTCAGCACGCTTCGATGCGGCTGTGACCTTGAGAGAGTTGACCCCCTACGGCTGGAGGGCTTTTGGAAGAGCTCTGGAAAGCCTCAACACGCCGCCGCAGATCCACGGTGATGAATGCAACGCACCCAGTGTAACTACATCTGTGCGGAAGTCAATCAGCCCCCACTCTAACCCAAATATATTGCACCCAGACGCAAAGCCAAGACAACAATTCATCACGCTCTGATGATGGAGCACATCGTGCATAAGGCCGGCCATTCCGCTCAACTAATTAACGCAGGGGGGCCGCCTGCTATACCACAGCGCTCCACCGTAGCAAATACATCGTTAATGCCATCCCGTAGGCCCGGTGGACCCTAAATCGACCAATCATATGATAAGGCACCGATTCGTTGGTTAGAATTATTTTTATGTTGATGTCCCAATTTCCTGGAATACCGTCGTTTAAAAAAGGGTCGTTGGTAACTGTGCCATCTAAATCGCAGCCTGATGCTAAGCTGTCGATTCTTTATAACTTCACTTGCAATTGCATTTGACATATATCCTCGTCTGCGCTACATATTCGCATGATACTCACCCTATTCTGTTTAATGTTTCTTTAACTTAATTGAATTTGTACAATGATCAGCCGAAAAATAATCTGCCCAAGGGCGACAGGGAATCATTATTGAACAGTGATTTGTGGGATATGCTCGATGATATCCCATGTGCCACGGTTGTTTTTGCTCCGATTTATTATTGATATAGTGCTGTACTTTCTTTTGGCGTCTCGGGTCACTCATGCAATGGAGATTAACCCGGTCCTCTTGAATTCTCGCCTGGGTTAAACAATTATACTTGATACTCTTTGGTTCTTTCGGTAAAGTCACGTAGAAAGAAAATTTATATAATTATTTTTTTCTACGTCAGCAGTTCTCCTGCTGTGTTTGTTTCACCTGATGACGGTTGCTTGTGTTGCGATCGAAACGTCGTGATCTATTAATTTTCTATCCACGTGAGTTTACCGAAAGAACCAAAGAGTATTGATCCCTGCAGTCACGAAAGCTTCCAATCAAAATTATACTTGACTTGATACGTATAAGTTACAGCCTTCAGCATGGCCGACTAATATTCCATAAACGGTAACGGAGGTGATATTTTGATGGTTTGGGCGAGTGTTCAGAAGAGACAAAGGAAGATGCATTTAAAAAGACAACGGAGATTAAAGTATCTCACAAATGCACAGAGATCCATGGACCCACACAGAGGTCTCACATTCTTGCGTATGGCAAGATGATCTGGAGATAATTGGCAATGTGAAGGTAAGCTAGCCACGAGGTGGGCTTCAGGAGAGAGTTGGGTGTAGTTCTCTACTCCTCCACTGAAGGAGTGCAGACTACGGTGGCTAACGATGTAGTCAATCGTTTGGCTTGCATGGCCACCGTCGCGCTACTGTGGGCCTGTCTTTAATATGCCATTAATGAAGATGTGCCCGTCGGTCTGCTGATGTTCGGATGCTGATGACCAGTGCCTTCAAGGAATGTCAAAGCCAGGAGGTTTCGAATGAGGCGTTTGTTCTGGAAGCCTGCGATGTTCGACGGCGTTCTTCTGTTTGAAAGCATTCTTCCGGATCGGTCAGATTCTAGGTGACGTCGGCACGCTCCCAAAAGCGGGATCGGAACTTGAGTGTGGCGGCGAGACTCAAACAGAGACCCAGGGACTAGAAGGTCTGTGGAGATGCCACCGGTGAAGGGCACAAGGAGTAGTGGGAGACCGAGGGTGAGATGGAAGGATACGGTGGCACAAGATACAAGGACGGGCGACGCAACTGGAGAAATGGCACAGAAATAAAGCGCACGCGGAAGAAAAAAAAAAGATGAAGAGCCACCAAAGGCAGGCAATAATGGGGACTCTCTTGGCTGGCAAGAAATAAATAAGAAGTTTTAAACACGCAGTTTGCACCATATTTATTCTGTTAAAAGGCATGTGTTGAGCACACAGCTTTGGCTATGAGCAATAAAGCCCCCTGCCTGACGACGAGCTGTGGGCAATCGTTAAATATTGAACGTGTTGGCTACATGAAGGCGCCTAAAGGATGGCATCTGCCTACGAGCGGGATGTCAAAACCGTGACGGCACGCAGCCAGCGAGGCGCGGCGCACGCCGCGCACACACACATACACACAATAAATAGTTAATAGCGGTGGACGCTGAGTAACGAGCAATTGCGTGCATAGTGCCAGCCACTACGGTATTGCCCACCGATGCCAGGGCCGCGTCAGTGCATCTCCGTACGTGCGGGACAAACGGACTTCCTTTGTTTGCCTTGATGGCACTACACCTTAACGGTATGTACGGTTTCAACGAGCGCTCCAGTGGGGCATTCTGGCTAACCCATCGATTAAATCACCTTTCATTCTGTGTACCGAATCCAGAGGTCGGCGGTTCGATCTCCCGAACTTCCACGCAACCATCGGGGGGAGGGAGAGACTCACAAACTCCAAATATACATCCAGCGTCAGGTTCGAGATTCAACCCACGACCTCCTACTTACCAGGAGAGGTAGTCAACATCTCGCCACCGAGTCAAAGAGGCGAAAGTTTGGCGTGTGGCGGTGCAAGCGGTGTCAACCGTCGCTCACCTTCCAGCCGCACGACGAGCGGCACCGTGAGGTTGAGCTCGCGGCACGCACGCGTGATCCCGTTGGCGATGATGGCGCAGTTCACGATGCCCCCGAAGATGTTCACCAGGATCGCCTTCACCTGTAAGGAAGGGGAGGAGGTTGTTAAGCATGGACAATGACCGCGAGAGGGGAACCGAAACCACCGGGCGTGGTGAGGGCCGCGATGGAATCTGTCGCGCGACGAGAGGTCAAAGTCGCTGACCGTGAATTGAGACCCAGACCACCGGAGCTATGAGATTAGGAGCCAGCGGAGGACTGGTTTTAGTCAACCGGACAAAGAGGACGACGATATGAAAAATAAACAAAAATTCTATAGGTATTTTCTCCGACTCGATCAAGACGAAACCCTCCTATCGTACGGCAGGACGTGAAAGCAACGCTTTTGAAACTTGGTTTATAGTTGAATTCTTAAATTGTTGCAACCAGTCCGAGGAGGCATCAGCAGACGCAGCGACGCCGCCAAGATGTCGCGCTCGTCGGCGACGCGTCGTTTGATGGGTTGTGGGTTGGACTTCACCACAAACTCAACTAAAAATGTATCACAGAATTAGAACGAATGTTGCGTTCTATTCGTATTACAGACATTGAGCTTTGAGGTCCACATCTTCAAGTTCACCACCGGGGTAAATTTGAGGTCAGTGGAGCGATAATGTCTGCATGCGAGCAAGGGCTAAATACATTTGACAGATGGAACAGGCTGCACTGTGGTTACAGTGCGTCTAGCAATCAGGAATTTGGAGTTCGACTCCTGGTAAGAGGTGGACACACGGTCAGTCCAATGAGAACTACATTGAGAGAATAAATTATCGCATAGGTTCATTAACCCTGCCATAAGAATGTGGAATTTAAACCAATGGCTTAGAATTCCAGCGCTGCCCCACTTTCTTAAGTGTGATACACACTTTGACGTTTTGGCTATGTCATAATAAAGGATTACGTAATAACATGCATAAAAAAATATTCATATCTATAGAGACCTTAACAAATATAACCTCTAGATCATTTCCGAAACACATGCCGAATATATATAATCATTTTAACACGTAGGCTTTCGCGACCAATGTTATTCATAATCAACGTTTTTGGGTTTAGATCGCGTTATTTATAAATGTGTCGTAACCCTCCACCACCCGACACGGCCAATCAGTAAAAAAGTGTCACGTTGACAAAGACAAATAGTTCACTGCTTTAGCCCACCAGTATGTTGAAGCCACAACATTTACAATTTGAGTACGACGTTTCGCTGGTAATTGCATCCAGCATCATCGGGCAATTCGCCAGAATGGCAAAACGTCGTACTCAAATTGTAAATGTTGTGGCTTCAACACACCGGTGGGCTAAAGCAGTGAACTATTTGTCTTTGTCAACGTGACACTTTTTTACTGATTGGCCGTGTCGGGTGGTGGAGGGTTACGACACATTTATAAATAACGCGATCTAAACCCAAAAACGTTGATTATGAATATATAATCATCATCATCCTCGGCAAGTCCACTGTTGGATGAAAGCCTCTCCAATATGATTAGCACGGTTGGCGACGTATGGTGTGAAAAAGTTCAACATACATACAATTCATCACAATCCTGGGTGATATAATAGGGAACATACTTTTATATATTTATATGCACACACACACAAACACACTTACCATAACAAATACACTGGCACACGCATACATATATTAGAACTATCTACCTTGACAGACAAGCAGACAAACTACAGGACAGGATAGATAATCCAGACAACAGACTGAGGAGCCGTAATGAGACGGTGAAATCCACACGGGTACAGCACTAGCCAAAGTGACAGGCAGGCACATAGGCAGGCACACAGGCACCTATACAGAATTTCTAACTACAACAGGCCAATAGTTTTGATGCCCACTCAAATTCGGTGCTTCTGCGAGGTTCTTCAAGCCAGAGGTCGCAACCGGGTACCCGATACCCGTACCCTACCCGATACCCGGCTACCCGTACCCGGCCGGGTACGGGTACCCATTTGCGACCCTGGTGCGGCCGGGTACGGGTAGGCCGTGAGTCACTGGTGAGTAACCGTTTGTCACTCATTTCCCAACGTCTTGTCTCTTCTCACAATTAAAGTTCCTAGAATCAACCCACCCGCGCCTGCAACATGGCTTCATCCCAGAGGTCGCAATCGGGTACCCGTACCCATACTCTACCCGATACCCGGCCGGGTACGGGTAGGGTACGGGTACCCGTTTGCGACCCTGGTGCGGCCGGGTACGGGTAAGGAATCAAAACCCGTTTGCGACCTCTGCTTCAAGACGAGCCAGTGGATCGTTCGGAGAGTATGTATGTAGAACTTCTTTCACACTATACATAGCCAACTGTGCTAATCGGAGGTGCACGGAGAAGGATAACAAATTAAAACACAAAAAGCAGTTCTCAAGAAACACGTTTTCAATCTTGATTTGAAAGTGCAGAGCTCCAGTGGCTTCCTAATATGGGAAGTTAGAGCGTTCCAGACGGCCGCAGAAGCGCATCTGAATTCGCGCGATGCGGTGACCGTCTTTGTTTGATGGTTAGCCAAAAGCCGCTGCTGCGAAGATGAGCAGAGTTCGCGTGAAGGGTTTATGTTCCTTGACGAGATCAGCAGGGTAATCGTGGTTCATTTGTGGCAAGCTCTTTGTGTGTAATGAGTGCGACCTTCGTAACGTGCGGTGAACAAAACGTAGTCGTCGTGGGGAGTTATCCTACTTGGGGGTGTGGCTGCTGAATGCTCCGAGAGAGAAGGATATTTATCTTGTTAATCACCTGCTCGACCACCACGGTCTAACAGCACATGTTCATCAATAGTGTCGACAGCTAGCTCGCGCGGGGAAACAAAGCGGGCAAAGTTAACCGTCACCGGGAGAGAAAAAAAAACCCGATGCACAAAGTCTCATGCACCAAGGGCTCCGAGCTTATGAGAAGTCACACACCATAACTAATTGTGGCCACGCTCAGTGGTTCATAACATTTGTCCCGCCACATACCACCCATGGGAGCCGTCCAACTGCCCTCATACTCCTCCCAGACCCCATCAGCTCATCAAACATTCCCACATTTTAATTACACGTACATGTGACGACGCATAAGACGTGTGTGTAGTTGATACTCAATGTTGACAAACACTTGAAATGTGCAATGTGTTTACTTTAATAGCGCTTTCAGCGGCGCCCTCGTGCACACACGCAGCGCAGCGATGCTAAGTGGATCCTATGTGACCATACCCCCCCAGGTGCCCATTTCATTATACCGCCGGATGGAGAGAGGAGGGACAATTTAGAGAAACGTGCACCGTTGTTTCCACCGCCTTGGCAGGAAGATCGAACCGACGACCTCCGCATTTGCGAGTCCAGCGGGATAACCCCGCACTCTCCGATCAGCATGATTGGCTACGTACAGTGCGAAAGAAGCTCAACGTAAAAACATACGCAAACATTGCGTCACGGCAGCAGCATGAAGCATCACTTGACGACGCGCACGCAAGGCTACTTTGGCGACGGGTGGGCCATAGGTTGTACTGGCACGATATACGTCCCCCGTCCTCCGCCCCACCCCAATGAAAATTCACGGAGGGCGAACGTTGCCGAGTCGTTGTGTGGTGCCCTTTCCAGACACCGACTTCGGCACCGCGTACGCGGCAGCTGGGTTCGCCGTGGGTCACAAGAATCCCCCCGCCTCTGTCTGTGCCCCCCCACCTCCCCACGGTGAGCCGAGCCGCTCGGCTGTCTACCTCCTCTTTCGCTGGAGGCACCGCCGAGCGCGGATTCAGAGGAAACGTTCGGCACCCCTTCAGTCGCTCGTGACGAGTCCGGGAAACCGCGCTCGCTCGTTTCATACAGGAGGAGTGAGAGGGGGAGACAGGTGGGGGGGAGAAGATAAGAAGGGAGGATGGAGAGGGGGAGGGGGGAGGAGGACAGCGGAGGGTGGAGGAGGAAGAATGGAGGATTGTACAATTTGAAGTAACTCGATGGGATGGGAATAGGGCAGCGGAAGATCAAGAAGCAGCACAAAAGAAAAAGGAACTGACTCTGAGGAAATGACCCCGTCACTTTAAAAAGGTGAAAACCGTTTAATGATCATTTTAGTTGGAAACAAAATAGGTAAAAACGTGGTAATTGGCTCAGTGCGAGAATCACACGTAATTATTTTAAACGTGGGGGAGAAGGTTTTTTTTTTTTCACAACTGCAGATTTGTAATCAACTAATTGGGTTTTATTTATGTTTTACTCAACACCAGAGGCTCACAAGTTAAGGAACGTTCGCGACAAGAACCAAATATGTTTTACACCTTTCTAAAGCGTGTTGTTTAGCACTGGGGAAATCTGTCAAAAAATTTACTCCGTTAAAAAAATAATTAATTTGCAGGTAAAATTAATAAGCTTAAAAATAACATTCAAAACTTCTCCTAGAAGAAGTTACCACAATAACTCAACTCGAACTGGAAAATCTACGGACCACTCGAATAGCTGACATGTATCAAATGTTGCTTCGATTGGTCAATTGGTCCAATGCATGGAGATTATTGTTGAGCTGAAGACGCACGTGTAATGCGTCTATAAAGAATTGAGCGAGGACTGATGATGTCATGGTCGTCACCATGTATCGTCACCGTGCACGGCCAGGGCAGTGCCATGTGGAGGGCGGATGGGCCGGCATCAGCTGCCGATTAACCGATCAAAAAGGATCTAATCGTATCAATCGGCACTAGATTCAAAGACAAAAAACATGTCCATCCAGCGACCAAGGAAAGGCGAATGGATGTGGAGAGGGGAAGATTAAGAAAACGAATTGGGCGGCGGGACGTATGTATATCTGTATGTTGAACTTCTTTCGCACCATACCGTGCTAATCAAAGGTGGGGGAAGGACAACATCTAAACGCAAAAAGCAGTTCCAAATAAATTAGTTGTCAATACAGATGTAAAAGTGCATAGCTCCGGTGAGCTTCCTGATATCGGAAGGAAGAGCGTTCCAAATGACCGCAGAAGCGCATCTTAAAGAGCGCGATAGGGCGACTAGTCTTTATTCGATGGCCAGCCAAAAATGAGAACGATCCGGTCAAGAGGCAGTGG